ATATTAGTGTTTCAAAACAGTAAAATGTATCACAGCGTTGATATTGTCAGTGAAAGTGCCATTTTTGCATTTTTCACACACAAACAGCACTTTCACTGACGTTATCATTGTTATCATTGTTTTACGTTTTTTAAACACTATTATTTCTATTCAGTGAAGTCTCCCGAGTATAACAGTACCCCCATGTATAGGTTTTATGGTGTTTGCAAAATTTACAGAGTCAAATATAAGGCTTGCTTTTCAGGTTTTTTTTTTAATTTGCCAGATTTGTTTTGTTGCCTTTGAGAGAGTATGGTAGCCCAGGAATGAGAATTACCTCCATGATAGCATACCATTTACAAAAGTAGGCAACCCAAAATATTGCAAATGGGGTATGTCCAGGCTTTTTTAGTAGCCACTTAGTTACAAACACTGGCCAAAATTAGCATTAAAATTCATTTTTTTGCAATTTTCACACACGAACAAATATGAATGCTAATTTTGGCCAGTGTTTGTGATTAAGTGGCTACTAAAAAAGACTGGACATACCCCATGTAGCAAACTCACCCCTTTAACGGAGTTTGCCATGTATTCTTGGAGGGGGCTGCTGGCCCGCCTCCTACCCAGTGATTATGGTCCCGAGAAGATGTGGACCTTTAAGCACAATATTTGGGCATATTGGATTTGTATGGTGCTGCTAGCCCTTTGAGAACCATTTTGGGGCATGGCGAAAATTTGGGACACTGCCCCTTTAAATCTGTGTCCCCAGACCTATTTGGGACAAGGCCCCTTTAAAACTGTGTCCCCAGTGTCCCCAGACTTGTTTGGGACACTGCCCCTTTAAGATGGTGTCCCCAACGTCCCCAGGCTTTGGAAATAACTTTTAAATGGCTTTTTCCCTTATGGTTCGGTAATTGGGGCTTACCGAGCCATTCAATGCACAGGCGGACCACCCAGAACTGGAAGTGTCCATCAACGGAGGTACCCAGTCGGGCTGCCAGGTGATCTGTTACACCCCATTTGTAATACCTTGGGTTGTCTACTTTTGCAAATGGTATGCCATCATGGGGGTAATTCATATTCCTGGGATACCATTTGGTCTCAAAGGCAACATAGCCAGTCTGGCAAATTTCAATGTGCATAAACTGAAAAATGTAACGCGCTATATTTGACCCTATAACTTTCAAAAACACCATAAAACCTGTAAATTTGGGTTACTGTTTTACTCGTGAGACATCTCTATGTACAAATATGTTTACTTTTTTGCAGTAACAGCCAAAAGTAATATGCTATTCAGTTAAAATGACATGCAGAACTAAAAAAATAACATTTCTTAATTTCTCACATTTTTTTAATATTTTTTTTCATATTAAATCATGTTTCATATATAAATATTTGATATGACATGAAAGCCCTGTTTTTCCTGACTAAATTGATATATAATAAGTGTGGGTGCATTTAATATGAAAGAGGTGAATTCTGGTTGAACATACATATAGCGCAAATTCAAGATTTTCTGTTTACTTTTTGACATGTTGATCACAACTTGTACAACTGCCTCAGTCCTTAAGGGGTTAATTATTTTACTTATTTTTACATTTTACCATGGCAACTGGATAGCAAACACTGACCAGCCATCACATCACTTAACCCTCGCTCTGCTGAGGGTTTTTAACTATTTTTTTTTTATTTGTATTTTATTGAGTTTTACACACACACACACAATACATCTTAATCGCAGTATTGGAGTGGGTGGTTAGTTTGTCTATTATTTAACAGCATTATTTATAAGTTAACATATGCATCATGTCCTTTTGGGCTGTAGTGTGGGGTATGGTCTATTGGTGGGGTCTATGGTGTCAGGTGCTAGGAGTATGTGTAGGCCGTTCTTGGAATGGCTTATCTTTTTGCCTTTGACGTTAATGGTTGAGTACCTGTTCGGTGGTGGGTTAAGAGGTAGGAAGCCCTGGATCTAAGCAAAACCCCCAGAGAAGGAGGTGTAGCGTATAGCCTTCATATGTGGTTCAAGGAGGGTTCGGTCCCTCTGAGCCCGGAGTCTGTGTTAGGGCACTCAGTTCTGCGTGCCTGTAAATGGGTGTTGTATATTGCAGGCCTGTCGGTGTGCTATGTGTGGGGTGTTAATTGTCCGGCTGTATCGCTAAGCTGCAGCCGATTTGGAGGAGGGAGTCAGCCGTCGGCAGCCGCCAGGGGGGAGTGGATCTCCTATAGGACTGTGTGGTCCCGGGGATCTATCAGTTATGTTTCTTCTTTGGCTTTGTCGCCAGTTGTCCCTTTCTGGCTGGTTGCTGGGCTCCTTCCCTCCCGCAGCCGGTTTGGGCAATGTTCCTGGAGGGCAGGTTCAGTTGCTGGAGGAACTGCTTATGATCTTCTGGCGAGGTGAGCGTGATTGACTGGTCTCCTCTCTGGACCTGCAATGATCCATCGTTTTCCCATCTGTAGCGGATTTTCTCCTCTCGGAGCAGTCCCGCTGTCGGTGCAAGTTGTCTCTTTGTGCAGCAAAGGGGATATCTCCATATATTTCCACTTTATGCCCCTCAAAGTATATAGTATTGAGTTCCCTGGAGCGTGCCAATATTGTCGTTCTCACCATCACATCTGTAGTCACCACTATGTTGTCTCTGGGCGCGTCTTTTGGGGCTGTCGCGGCCTTCCGAGCTCTGAATGCGGCGAGTAGTGCACCTTGGTCCATTCCTCCTTTAATGCCTATGTTGGCCATTTGTCTCTGTGTGAACGGTAGTAGGTCGTCTCCCCCTACCGTTTCCATGATGCCTCTGAGTCGGACATTCCGCTATCTGTGTCTCGCTTCCAGTGCCGTGACAGTTCTGGTGAGACTGTGGACCTGTTGTGTGAGGCACTGTACTTGGGCTTGGGTAGTTTGCAGGTTGCGGTCCCTGGTTGCTTCCCTGTCCTCCACATCCTTAACTCGGGTCTGGAGAGCCCCTATCTCTTGTCAGGTTTCCTTGATGTTTGCTTTCCAGACTTCTCTCATCTCCTGCAACAGGTCCCTGATATCTCTAATTGTTACCGGGGATGAGTCTTCCTCTGACTCTGAATCCCGGCTTACCTCTGCCTGGGCTTAGGAAAGACTCTCTCCGTCATCGTGGGAGTCCTCTAAGGCTTCCTCTTCACTGCGCACCTCCGGCGCCATTTTGGACGTTGTCGGCGGTGTAGGCCTCTCAAAAGAGAGCCTGATGTCGGCTTGTTTGTATGCCTCCAGTGGGTGGAATTTTTAATTTTTTCGCCCCATTTCAGTCACTGGGGTGGAGGCGTGCTCTTGGCTCTTGTTGTGGGGTCTGGTCACTCGTAATCCAATTATTGTTGTGGGGTCCGGTCCCTCGTAATTAACTATCCCACCTCTGATGCTCGCCTTCAAGATTTCTCCAGGGCTGCACCGTTCCTGTGGATCTTGCTTCCCTCCTCCGTTAGATGCTCACCCAGTCTCCACTCCTTCAAAAAATCGTTAAAAACCCACTTCTTCATAAAAGCGTATCAATTGAACTGTTAATAGCTCCCGACTGATTCCTCTTCTGCAACTGTCACTAGTCTAATACTATCCTTACTGTTTAGTGTCATTTTACCCAACTCCCTCTAGCATGTAAGCTCATTGAGCAGGGCCCTCAACCCCACTGTTCCTGTGTCTCCAACTTGTCTGGTTACAACTACATGTCTGTTCGTCCACCCATTGTAAAGCGCTGCGGAATTTGATGGCGCTATATAAATAATATAATAATAATAATAATAATAATAATTTGCATATTACATTTTAGTGCTTCCAATAGGCAAATAGTCTTGATAATTATAATTCATCTGCAAAATAGAAGTGAATAGAAATTTGCTAATTTGCATCCTACCAGATGCATTCAGACCCAATTTTCTTAAAAATCGGTGCTTTGTAAATGTCTGAATTCGATACTTCACATTCAGAATGTATGTGTGGTCGAATGGTATAGATTCAGTCAGGTTCAACAAATTATCACCTGAATTTATATAAGTAAATATGAGAATTGCCAATAAGGTCTAATTTCAGTCATTTTACCAAATTTTGATTATCATGTTCAAAATTGAGTGTTTAGTTATTATCCTCGAAAAGCTACCTCTACCTCTATAACAAACACAAGAGAGATGTTTTATAATATAAAAAACAAAAAATATATTTATTCATGTACGTAGCCAGCAATGTATACATTTATCAAATCATTGAGTATAATACAGCATTTTCCAATATACAGGTGCATTGTCAGGCAAAATTTTTTTTAAAAATGAATCATCTGTTTAAAAGATGTAAAATAAATATTTAATTTTTAACTGTATAATATAGCTACAATACTAGTTTTTGCTATGTGAACCTTTATTTTTTTTTTAAATTTATTTATTTATTTTTAACCACCAGTACAACAAAACCAGAAAACAGTTTTATTAGGGTTGTAGATTTGCTACTTAGGCAAAATTACAATACCATGTAAAATAAACTAGTATTATAATTATGGCTAGGTGGTGTCCAATTAGCAAATGTTTAATAAGGATAGAGAAATACTGAGTATGTAATTTGTATATTTTACACTATCAGAAAGTCTGCTCTACTGTCAAGTAATTAACTTCCTTGCACTCAAAACTGGCTGATTTAAACATCCCTTTTGGATTTGGAGTTAACTCGAAATTTGTTACACTGTGTTCACCAAGTAAACACTTGTTCTTCTAAATTTTTAACAGGCTGGTTGATAAAACCTTGGGGGGCATACTGGCAAGTAGAGAAGACAGCAAGTACTGAAAATAATTAAAATGTAATCATTGTATCAAATATTCATGGAGAAAAGAGGTTATCGGCAATCTTGTTAAAACTAGGGACTGATAAAATAAATTTCACTGCTTAACTTTGGGTCCCACCGGATGCAGCAAGTGTATAAAGTAATGTGAACTCAGAACAACTAAACCCTCCAACCAAAGTCTTAGATGTTGATATCTTCTCGGTCTGATCACTTGTTACTGCTGGGGTCCCGCGTCTACAGATGATAGCTCCATGGTTCCATCGAAACTCTAGGTAGGTGGATGTGGTTTACTGTTTCCATTTCCTAGGGAAAATATATATTGATTTAATAGAAGCCAAGCTATTAACACATTATTGTAATTTTTTCAAGTATAAGAACTAAGTATGTGCTAACTTAGATAAAGGTGTTTACTTACTGATGGGTACAAAGGCAGCGTAGGATAAATTCCAGTGTAGTTGCTATAAGGAGAAATTGAAAGGCCTTGGAAAGAAATAAAAAAGAATATTTAGAATTATATTGAATAAATTGCCAATAACTAACATCTTCACAAGTACAATAAGCTTTCAGTTCTGCTATTCTCTGCCAGGATGTGCTCAAGGCTCGTTGCTTGCTTACGTAAGAAAAACATCTTTATGGCCAACCCCAGCCACTTTTATATGTCTTTATTTGTATTTTTTTAACATGTTCCCTTACTTTTCTTGTTTTTACATGCAACGAGCATGGAGGGCTTGCTGTTTATATATTGAAGCCTTCCATTTTTTCTATGATTATTTCTAGGGTTTTCCTGTTATCTGTCCTCCACTATTTGTACTATTTCTAGGGTTATGGTTAGAATAATAATTCTGTGAGGCTAAATTAGTTCCTAACCCTAATTTTCTTTTGAATTTTATGTATCGAATTTTAACTGTTTTAAAATTGTTTAACCGTTAGCTTTACTCAATTATTATTCTACCCCTAACCCCAAGAAAATGAATAGTGGAAGGCAGATAAGAGGACATTCAGGATTATGGTGAGGTTTAAAATTAGGTTTAAGAACTAGTTTAGCTTCACTCAATTACTATTCTAACCTTACCCCTAGAAAAAGTAGAAATAGTGGGGGCAGATAACAAGAAGAGTCCCAGAACTGTTAAAGATTATTATTAGCAAAATTTACCTTGTGTTTTTTTATTGTTGATTTCCTCATTAACGTCTGGAATATCCATAGAGAATGCCTTGTCTTCAATCATAATGGCTGGTGGAGACACAGAGAATCGTTTCATTATGTTTAGGTTGTCCTCTTCATAATGGTAACCGGTCTTGGTCATTTCTACTAGCTCTGGGATAATGTAAAACAAAACAAACACCCAGCCATTTACTACTAAAGCAACTGCCAGGATAAAATCTTCCCAATTTTTCATGTAACCTAATTGTTCAACTCCATAAATGTACATCACAATCCACGTTATCCAGATAACAAGAGAAGAAAATGCTGTTAAAGCAATGTATTTTCCATGGCGCTTCCATTGTAGATAATGTCCAAAGAACACTGGGCAAGGAATAAATAGTGAGGCCAGTATGAGGAACATCACATAGACCAATGCAGTCACAAAGTCTTGGTTGGTAATATTACAGGGGCTGTCAGGCAGAGATGGAGACAAAAGATTGTGACGTACATTTGTGATGGGAAGCCACGCTACATTTATTATAGCCTCTACCATGAAAAGTCCAAGGGCCAAAGAAAATATCCAGCACCCACCAGGTCCACGATTTTGAAACACCAGGTAGTTAAGCCTGACTGAATGTGCCACCAAACATGAAAAGCACATAGCAAATAGCACTCCAAATAAAAATCTGCGGCACACACATACCACAGCAGTAGGTGCAATGAGAAAGGAAAAAACTAAAGCAAAAAGGCCAAAGACACCTACTAAAAACATAGCATTAATGGCTAAGGAACCTTTACGTTCATCCCGAATAACTGATGGAGCCAATGCCAAAAATATCAATATCAGCACAAAGGTGGAAACAATTCCTAAGGCTGCCACGGCTTCTATTATAATTCCCCATGCTGCATTCATATCACAAAGTACAAAGTACATTGATTTGATATCATGTCCACATCCTTTTGGCACAACCGAGATGTTCTGCAAGCCCGGAGGGGAGGTCGTGAGATTCTGAGTGGAACCAGCTTTCATGAAGTTCAGCAATGCGATAAACAAAAGGTATCTGTTTGCCATTGTCAGGTATAGTATTGCTGTTTAAAAAAAAAGAAGAAAATTAGATGTTTAATATGCCATTTTCCATTATTTGCTTTTTTTACAGATTACTTCAGATCTAATAAAACACAAATAAATACCTAAACAGACATTAAAATATTTTAAAAGTGGCTTCTTCAAATTTAAAATGAAGCAAATATTAAAAGCTGAAGAGATAAAAAAAAAGATATCAGAGTTAAAGAAAGTTTACATATTAGTTATAGTAATGCTTAATCAAATTTTTAAATTGCCTTAAATTTTTAACAAAAAAAAGGAAAATTGTTTATTTATGGGGAAATTCTTTGTATTTTCCTGTGATGTGATTTACTTGAAACCTGGAATTCATCTGGCCTCCATTCCACCCCCCCCTCACCCTGTTGTAACATCTCACTCCAGAATACAGCTAGACATTTGTTTATTTTAAAGATCTCCACTGGGCTGTCCTAGGATATTTTCTATTAGGAAATACCAAGGGCTAATTAGCTAAGACCATTTTTCTGGACTTTTTGCTAAGGGAGTGCATGAATGAAACTAACCAGAAAGGTCAGTCTATGCGCAAAACTTACACTTTACAGATCTTGACTGCTGATGTCATGGGATAGTCATTAAGAACAGTGAATGACCCCTTTTTAAACTGCCCCAAACTCCAAATAATTTATAAAACAATCTAAAACCAGATACGTATCAGAACCAAAAAAAAAAAAAGGGGGCCTCACTTATTCACCTCAAGGCCAGACCTGGTCTATAGTTGTTAATGCTATAGATGTAGTTTACCAAGAGCTGGGTACCAAGCCTTTAGATGTCCATTCTAAAGACAGCTGAGCATTAAAATAAATGTAGATTTCAAATAACACAGGTGACAAGATTAGCAATTACTGAGTTACATGTAACTAGGTTCAGGCATTCAATAGCTACACAAATATTATGTCATAGAGCCCAAGCTAAATCTCACCTCCTACGCAGAGGACTTGCTGGTACATAAATATTAAATCTATTTAAAGAAATATCAGTGGGAGTGCTAAGTGACCCGTGTGAGAAATAATTGCAATAAATTTAAGTACTTGCATATAGCACACATGCAATCACATGCCAAACAGAACACAGGAACACAACCACTTGAAATCTCTTTACAATTTAATAATCACCAGTATAAAAATGAAACAAAGACATTAATAGCAAGATACTATATAAAATAAACACTCTAATATAGCAATCCATGTGTGCCACTGTAGACCACAGATCTCAAAACATTGCCCATCCAAATGGTGCTGAACATGATTTAAACAATTATGGGATTTGTAGGCCATCAACATCTTGGGGGGACCTGCTGTAGACAATTCATGTGAAGTCAAATGATGATAATAAAAATGATAATTGGGATTTTTGGAAGAAGGGGCCAAAATGGCTGTTTGTGCAATTTTACAACATTCATATCTGTTACTTTTGGCAGAAACTGGACAATCCAACTGAATGGCGTGCACTATCACAGGTCTATGAACTGGATTTTCAGTCTTTACCTACTGTCCAAAAACTGCTTAAGTATCCTAGTCAGCTGCTTAGAGATATTTGAATTTAATCTTCTTCTAAATTAGTTTTTTCAAATTATACACCATGTATCTTAAATTTATGTCAGCATAAAAAACTTAAATGATATACTTATAAAAGAAAAGAAATGGTTAGTAAACCTGATTATGTATGCATATATATCATTATACAAACTCTCTGTTTATCTGTGATGATCTAGGCTTGCCATGGGCATGGCGATATTATTTATGTATTTATTTATTTTGCTCTTTTTAGTCAAAGCAGGACAATGTTCTATCACAAACATTTTATTGTATTTTATAAAGTTATGTTGTAAATTAAAATAAATTACTTTTATATCATATTACAATGTTGTAAAATAGTTATCAGTTTTATCCCAGAGTAATGAAACAGAATGATATTGTTAGCATTTTATGTTTTAAACTGTTCTAAATCTGCAGTTTTATCTTCTAGTTCAGTTAAAATAATACTAAATAAATAATATGGCTACAGTATAAGCCAATGCATTTTATAAATCAACAATAATTTTATTCATGAATAACTTCTTTACCCTGTGGAACAAATGGATACAATACGTGGAAAGATAGACTTTCTTGCCTGATTTAAAATAACTAGATAAAATGATGCATGCCCATTCCAAACTCTATTATGAAAAATAAATCCCAACTATTTATTGCAAAATAAAAATTAGCAACTAATAACATCATACAAAACACTCCATCTCAATCAACCTGTTGACCAGAGGCCAAAAAACACACACATATATATATATATATATATATATATATATATATATATATATATATATATATATATATACAGATATGTCATATTACCTGCACACATCCAAAATTGAGATGTAAATTGACCTATTTATGAAAAAAGATTTTTCAAGAAAAGTCATAGTTTCCTAACTACAATTAGTATATATGTACTTACTTTCAGAATACTGGCGTTTCTCTTCAAATGTTTAGTAATCCCAAAAGCAGGGTTGACCCAATCACTAGAATAAGCCACATAGAAAGGTCTGGATGAGTCCAATGTTCACTTTGTGATTCTCTGCTTCAGACTGGTGAATGCTATATTGTCTACCTGACTGCTGAAGGTAATTTATATGGAGTTGAAAGTCAAAGCAACCAATGGGAGATTTTGTAGGTTGGTTTGAATCCCAGTGAAAACAAATTAGCATAGTGATAAAGCTAATTACCAGGACAATAACCCTACCAATGGTGGGAGTTTGGAGTTTCTTAATAAAGTGAGACTAGGATTAGAATATTTTATTTTTACTAAGCAAATGTTTATCAAAAAGACATAGCTGCTGTTGATTGTTGCCCATTTAATTCTGCCTAATGCATTGTATGGTCTTGTTTCTGTGTCCAGGGCAAATTGTGTAATAATAAGCTACAATATCAATAATTAGTTATTTAGAGAACCTCATTACCGTATGCCAAACTGCTAAAATTCTAATGCTAAATACATGCTCATGCTGGCCCTAAGCTAATGAAGAAGAAGAAATCAGACATACCCTGTGGGGTTTATTCATAAAGATATATTGCTAAGTAGATGAAAGCCTCACTCTGGACACCATAACCACATTCAATTAAGTGGTTATGGTGCCTATGGTCCCTAGGCGCTACCTTACTTTCCAGTGTTATTCAGTTTTTCAATGGTGTAGCACAGAAGTAGTCATCCCAGAGGCCTGTCGTAATGCCTCTCCTTTGGCACTTCACTTGGGCAGCGGTGGGGAACAGTGATAGATTGAGATCGTCAGCCTTTCACAAACCTCCATTTTTCCAGTACAACTTGAAAACTGTATGTACGAGCCAGTGGTGCAATTGTAGCCAGTGGTGGACTGAGACTGTCAGGTGCCCAAGCGTATGCTTCTTCATTAGCCAAGCACCAGAGGAGAAGCAGTGCGATACGCACATGTGGACATTACTTAAGCATCATTCTGTTTCATAACGGTCTCGATTTAACAGTAGGGAATACTAGGCACTATAACCACTGTATTGGTTTCCATCAATAGCAATCTTATTTCACACATTAGGGAATTTGTTTTATGACCATATGCTGTTTAATTTGTTTAAAGTAGTTTATAATTATGGAGGGAGATTTTAATTATAATTAAAGGAGATATATATCTCTCTCTCCTTTAAGAGAATTGCAACCCGTCTGAACTTTCTGCAAGTCATTTTCCATAACTCTGATTCACCAGATGACCAATTCACGGAACATTTTAAATGAGATATGAGCAAGTCTTTTCGTTTAATTCGTGATTAGGAGTTCTGTCTGATTAATGTGTAGGGAACAGCCAAAAATATTTTGATTTTATTCACGTAAGGAACCGACAAACAGAGGGGAAAAAAGGATGAGCAGTTAAAAAATAAATAAATCTATATTTATAATTTATGTATTTTAATAAATAAATATTAAAATATGTAGTTTTTTTTTTATTTTACTGCTCTTCTTTTTTTTCCCTCTTTTGGTTACTTTTCACTTAAACTGTGATCCATTTAGCATGGTAATGCCCTTATTAGCCTACAGCAACCTATATATATATTTCATATATTCTTTATACATCTTGCAGAACTCTAATAGGCGCATTCATTCCACAATTTTTTTGTCTAAATTGTTTTCCCAAATTCCACCCATATACAAAATTTAATACGAAATGAAAACCAACATGGATGAAACCCAATTCACCCCCAAAAAAAATAAAAAATTTTTGGACAAATTGATTTGGACACAGCAAATTTTTTTGCTGTGCCTAAGTCTAGTAATTTCCTTAAGGGATAAAATAAAGGCCACATACATTTACAATATTTCTTTCTTTGGCAAGTTGTTATTGCTTGATTCACTAAACAATTCTTCCATTTAAGATATCTTTAATAAAATAAAAAATTTGGGGGCATTTCCACCACTGAATAAAACTTGTTTTAGCTTTTTAAAATGAGATTATTATTTTTTTTTTAAAGGTATATTATAGCTTTAGCAAACAACATCATAATCCAATTCAGACAAGAAAACACTGCCAATGAGTAGTAGAAACAGAAATATGTTTAATTTCTCCTCTTCTCTGTATGATTTTTTTTCTGCTCACTGTCAGGTGCATAGGGCAGATCTTACTGTCAGAAATTACTGACAGGGAGCCAAGACCAAGGTGCAGGATTAAAAGGTGTGAATTTCTGCTTTTACATTTATTATTCACACCGTAAAAAAAAAACATTTTTTTTAAATTTAAATGAAAAGTAAATAAAATATTAGTTATCTTTAAGAGCTGTCAGCTGTTTAATATTAAACCTAAAAAACATTAAAAAAATATTCTGAATGGGCAACAAGTAAACAATCGTTATTATAAATTGTAGACAATTATAAACATAGACTATTAACTTTTCCGTTAAAAAAATATATTTTTTAAACTTATTGACATCAGTGATATCAGTAAACATTCCTGATAATAATTATCATTACTAACTGTTGTCATTTTAATTCTGATTAATGCGTTGTATGGTTTTGTTTCTGATCCCGGGGACAAATTTGTAATATTAAGTTACAGTATCTATAATAAGTTCTTTGGAGGACCTCAATACAGTATGCTAAACTGTATGCATTCTCATACTGGCCCTGGTGAAAATGAAACCAGACATACTTTAATGAGTTTATTCATAGCCATGGCTTTTGTTAAATAGACAATAGAATTGCAAATGTCGGTATGAGGACTCAGTCGCATACACCTGTTCAGATTTTATAGGTGGAGACTTTTTCTCACACAACTCCAAAGACAACCTGCACCTGTGATTAATTTCTTAAGCACTGTCTTACTTCACTATTCAAACACCTCCTGGGGGACCATACACAATGATCATAGTCTGCCAGCCAGTTTGGCTCCAGACATTTCAGTCTTCTGGGAAATATCCCAGGTGACCAGTCCTGTTTTCAGAGGATTGAGATCACAGACTACTAAACCCAAGCAGAAAACTCACCACCTGCTGTTTTCAATCAATAGAAGAATGGCTCTGTAGTGTGTAGCCCATTGTTATTTTTTGATAGTGGCCTGCAGGGTGGCAATGTTGCCTGTCCTTCACTGAGTCATATTACAATTTTCAATAACTTTATACCAGCTATCATCTTGAAGAAAATTATGCAAATAAATGAAAAAATGGGTAGGTCCAGCACACCTCTTTTAAATGAACACTATTGGGTACCACAAAGTTCTTGTCCCTTACACTGCTATTTATATGACCCTCTATTTGGAGCATGTGCTAAACAATATAAAGATCATACTGCTTTGAAAGTCATCTTGTTCATATTACAAGCATCCCAACTGTCCAGAATCCGGCAAAGCAACACAGCTGGATTAACCGTAAGGCAACGCTAGGCAGCCGTCGATGGTCCAAGGGTTAAATCATGAGTTTGCTTGGCCCCATGAACCATCCCTATGTGAAGAATAAGGGGGGAGTGGTAAACTTGTAACCTGCTTAGGGTCCTGTGGGGTCTCAATCCTTTTCTGCAAGGCAGTCTCAATTTTGATCTACTGTCCCAGCATTCCAGATTTGTTCCCTGTTGTCCTTTTTTGTTGATACTAGCAAACTGTTCCATGAAAGTGCAGCATAAGTGCATCATTAGACATTCTTGTGCTGTGATTTGCGCACTAAAAACATGCACAGAGTGTGGAGTTACACTGTGCCTGCTTGTACTCAACTTTAAAGGGACACCTGGGTCACCTGATGTGAGCAGGGATTTAACCCTGCTCACATTGTCTTCCAGCCTATGGGTAAAATCTCAATTTAAAGAGCTATCTGCAGCTCTCACTTGGAATGCTACATAATCCATATAGCTCATCTGTCAGTCTGGGACCACTAAAAATGGCCCCAACTGACAGAGGTGAGCCCCATGTATCGATTGATACCTGGGATTTCCAGTTGTAAGTAGAGATGTAATGTCATCTCAGGGATCTGCTAACATCCATAAAACACTTTATCTTTGGCCACATGGATCATGATTCCTCCAAGACCCCTTGATGATGATTTAAATAAGTTGACCAATATTATGATAAGTATAGGTGAATGACAAATAGCATCATAGCAAACAGATATTACAATAATCAGACCTTGTTCATGAGTATTATTTGTTCTTTTATTGCTCACTGTAATGAGGCTTGATTCTCAAAGAATAACTGGATTACTTGACTGTGTGAGAGGGAAAGGGTTATTAGCACCTATACTATTTAACAGTGCTCTCCTCCTGCCAGTCCCCCAGTGCGTTGTGTCGATGCACCAGACTTGAAGTAAATGCAGCCTACAATCGCAGATGATGTAGCTGCGGCCAGGTCTCCTGGAGTGACGGGTCTGTTCGCAGCTGCGACGTCTGAGACCGTGGTAGGTACGCCACTGCCTAATCTTCTTATTCTAAGATTACACCTGTTACATCCCCCTAGATATGGTTTGTTATGTGCTTTCATCATGCTCTTTGCACATGCTTGTTCATAATAGTTGTCAATATTTGATTAATAATTAATTACACTGCCCGTAGACTTCTTGTTATTGCGTGTCATTATAAAACCTTTGTTCTGTTTAATAAACAGCGGACATTTTTCTGAATTTACTCTGTTGTATGGTCTCTTAAGAGTGTCGCCAAGTACCTGGGGCTTGGCACAGTCTGGATAGTACTATGCCATAATAAGTCCATGGCAGTGGTCTGGTGATCATCTAGAAGTATGTTCAAACAGTCTTGGGGGCTGCGTCTGGCATTCTGGCTAAATAACGACCGGTGAGGGCATAACTGGTTTATTTTTGTGTGCCTCCCGGAGGGGGATTACCCAGATTATTGAAACGTGGGTGGAACAAAGGAAGACAGCATGGGGCTTTTCCAGTGTTTTAGGAAAGCAATAGACTTTCCATGGTTTTAGGAAAATCGGGCTACGTATCATCTATGCAGATCTAAGCCCACCCACTAAGGTATATATTGTTAGAAGTTGTTTGAAGTAAATGGCTGTTTTTAACCTGATACTTTCCATTTTCAGTTCGGTTGCACACTGCTTGCTAATATATGCTTGCAGGATGAGACAAAAGTGGGAAATCCCAAAAGTTTACAAAGCTGCTGTAGTCAAATAAAATATGAGTGAGAATGAATGTTTGATAAGAGTGAGAGTGGATTTGTGTGTCTCAGATCACAAGCAGCAGAAATCATCACTCCCCCATCTCTATTTTTCTAAGGCTGAAAGAAGCTAGTGTGTAATGAGAAAGGATAGTGTAAATAGAGATAGGATAGGAATTGCAAACAGAATTTGTAACAAAAAGAAAATGAAGATGTTCAGAAATTCTATGTAAATGTTTACGTTTTTGATATATGGAACAGCAGCTCACAGTGAAAGTTTTTTTTTTAAAGTGACAATATTAGCATGGGAGAAGTCAGGCAGGAATTTGTGAGTACAATAATTATGTTTTATAAGGTTCAAAAGAATGTTGTCCTTGAATGAAAGTTCAGAGTCAAGTAATTGAATGTTGTTAGACAAGTCAGAGAATGTGGTATAAGAAATCCCTGGGTGATTTTGGAAGCTGCAGGGTGAAAGACAGAATATATGTTTTTCCGTGTATTGAGATGCAGAATGCTGAGATATTGCCCGTCCTCGCTTTGTGGACTTAGCCAATATTTTCTGCGGTCAGAGTGTATCCTATGACTCTAACCCTTCCTATAAACCCTGCCCAAAAGGTTAAGACCATGGTCAGATATTTAACAATCAGCATTCCTTTTCTTTATTATCAGATTGTCAAGTTAATTTATTAGGCA